ATTATGTCTTATCTAACTTAGTGTCTAGCATGATGCTTTAATTTTTTGTAGTGTTCAATATATTTGCATATATAAACAGAAATTTTATAAAATACAATCCTTATTCTCAAGGAATTTAAGTCTTGCTTGGAAGATATTATATATAAAAATATTTGTAGTAGAATAATAAAGATTATCTAAAAGACCTAGAGTTATATTCTATATTATATTAATATATATCCTATGTTCTATATGTATCCATATGGTATATTCTGTAAACTAGTGGTAACAGAACAATTGTAAAAGGAGGGAAGAGACAGGTAATAAGGAGAAAGTTTAGGATATGCCTACCTAAAACATGTGTTTATATGTATGTGTATATACAGTATACTAGAGGTAGCTAATGTTTAATATGCACCAGGTATGTTTCTAGCATAAAAGAACAGCTGTCATTTCAATTTGTTTATTTTCTTAATTTGGATATAGATATACTGGGTATATCTGTAAGTAAGGCATTCCATTGGCCCTGAGATATGAAATTTGAGAAAAAGGCTTTTGGGTCATTTAAACCAATGACTTGTGGGAAATTCCTTACATCAATATCTGTTTTATAAGTCCTAAATAATTTCAGAAATTTCAACCTCAGTCACTTTTATTTGCCATTCACTATACTGAGTGACTTTTCTTGATTGTTAAACATATATTCTTCAATTTTCCGATAAAAGACTCTTTGCAATTTAAGGCAAAAAGGATTCTTTGGTGAACTTAAAAATTTTGGATTTCCTGAGTTAATGTTGATGTTTTAATGTATGAAATACTCCACTAAAATAACTTTTCTTTGCTAATAATTACGGACTCAGGTCAGGAAAACTGTCAGTAGAACATAGTTTATTATTCTGAGCACTCTGTACTTTTATGAATGTTAGTTATTTCAACTTTACTTTATAAATCATTTGATATGAAACATCATTTGATAGCAAACTTTTTTTTGTTCTTTCCCACAGGTCTAGAGAACTAGTAACAAGCACTGGCATCCTGGTGCAATTTAGCACCTTACAAATGTACGATGTTCTTCCAAGTTGCTAACCTAAAATTAGTATGGTCATCTTTCATTACTTTCTTCATTTAAGAAACCTGCTTCCTAGCACACTCACTTTATTTGAACTTTTGGAGTTATGCTATATAAAAAGACCTAATTTTAAGCAGCATAGCCCAAATGGTAACTAATTCCCTATAAAAAGACATTAATTTAAGCAGCATGGCCCAATGGCCCAAATGGTAACTAATTCCCTTATAATCACTGATTACATGTTCCTTATTCACTCAGCTGAAAAATCAGAAAGTTGTCCCCCCAATCCACAAAATCCAAAATATTAAAAACCTCTGAATGAATAAATATGTGCTGAGGGTACCCCCACGTAAAAAGAGTTTTTCCTCCCTCTCCTTTAAGATAACATTATTTTCTCTTATTCCAAAACTGTGATTTTTAGACTCATCTTTGAGAACAGGGAGGAAATTGCCTAATTAACCAGAAAGGCAAGAATCATGATGAGCCTGTCTGAAGCACTGTAAGAGCTTACACAACCCAATCCAAAGGGGCTCAAACCCAGGAAAGAAAGATAAAGGAGGCAGATTTTCAGAGGAACTGAGAATGTGTCCAGACTTGGGTGCGCAGTACTTTTATTCAAGTATCTGGGGGCAAACCAGAGTCGGGTTTGTCCCAACACGTGTTCTTATAGATCCTGTATGAAAAGGATGGCCTGGGAGTCCTATTAGCCTGTCACAGCAAAATTCCTTCATGAGCAAACTTTTGTTAACTTTGGATAAGAGATCTGGATACTTTAAGTATATATGTTTCTGTTCTTTGTACTTGCTTTCTTTTCCCTTTGTTTCCCAGAGAAGGTTTTCAAATGGCAGAGAGGCCAGTGGTGAAAGCAGCTTCCATAGTAGGAGCCATTGTGCTACTGATGCTGGCAAGTGCCTGGGGGACATACAGGAAGCAGGCTGGGGAGCTTAGGATTTGGGAGTTTTCTCTGACGCTCCTGTAACTGAGTAAATACTGTAATGTAGTGACATTCAGAGAAACAATAAATTTCTCCTTATAGTGCAGGGAGGGCTAGCTGGGACATGCAGTTAGATAGGGACTGGAAGATTCTGCTTGTAACTTTTCACCTGAAGGCTCAGCCCATCCAGTTACTCAAAGAACCCTGGTACACGGGGGCAGCCGTGCATATCTGGAAAGCAGGGTAGTGTCCTGAGTCGTAATTCTGTCTACCTGTGGCTTTCTCTTCTTGCGAAGGAGTAAGTATCTTGTTGATCTGGTTCTTCAAATCATGATAGTAAGGCCAGGGGTCCTCAAACTTTTTAAACAGGGGGCCAGTTCACTGACCCTCAGACCCTTGGAGGGCCGGATTATAGTCTAAAAAAAACTATGAACAAATTCCCATGCACACTGCACATATCTCATTTTGAAGTAAAAAAAAACAAATGGGCAAAAACACCTGCATGTGGCCTGCGGGCTGTAGTTTGAGGACTCCTGGTAAAGGCTAAATCTCAAAATACCAAGGTTGAAATGTTGTTGAGAATTAATAGCATAAGAGGAGATAGCAAGGCGTGGGGCTGAGTAAACCGGTGAGGCACGTTTGCAAGAGTTAGGCTTAGCTTCAGAGCAACTGCAGCCTTAGTCACTATTATATTTGCTCCTCTCTACAACTGCTTAGTTTTAGAGACACTTTGTCCACGCTGGAGGCCCACTGCTTGCTGATGCTAGTTTGACAGCAATGCTTGACCCATTCTTTTAGAACCTGGACTTCTTTCCTGTAATTTTTCAGCTTCACTTACAGGCAAAGATTGGCCTGTAGAACAAACCAATGGAGTGACAAGGAAAGGTTTACTGTTTCTCATTTTATCAGGTAGTTTACCATCTATTTTGGCCCCAGGATTGAACTGAGCTGCTAAAATCTTAAAATAACAGTGGATTTTCCAGGTAGTCTGTATTTTGAAAACTTCCTTCCACCCATCACAGTTTTGACAAAAATAAATCTTAAAAAATGCTCAGAATGCAAAAGAAAATAAAACAGTTGCAGTCTGTCAATGTGTTTGTTCCCCAGGACCCAAGTGACCTTATCTACAGAGGGAACTGTTCGAGGCATAAAGGAAGGATTTTGCATTTCAGCTTAAATAGTGATTAAAAGGATTGTCGTTGAAAATAATAGAGTTACAGTAATAAAAGAACTGATTATCACCAAAGTCTGTTTAGCAACAGTCACAATATCAGGTTGCCAAGTTTGAGTTTGAGGTTACAACCTTTTTGTAGGAGGGGGAGGGACAGCGGAGGAATTTCTGATTTTTTCCCTTCAATATTTTGTGGACAGGAAAATATTCCAGAGAAACAACCTAGAATTTCAGAATAAAAATAATATATTTTTCAAAAATCCTACTTAGAGTTCACCAAATTAAAAACACGCTTAATTGAGACTTCTGCCAAAACACTCCCAGTGAAAAGTTGTTAAGTGAGAAGTTAATAGAACAAGTGCCAGTTCCTTACTAAACCCCAAATTTTCACACCTTAAAAGATATAATATGTTGAAATGACTTCATATTTAACCTTGTCAAAAAGAAAGAAACCCAAATGTTCGCGGGGGCTGGGATATCTCTCAATGTCAAGGCTTAGGCAAGGAGGCCACCCAAAGATATGGCACCATGACCAGGGCCTACATTCTTCTCACTGTTTCAGTCCAAGGCTTTACATGACTTAGCAACTTACTGTGTCCACATTCTAGCAAGGCCTAACTGCCCTAACACAGGCTCTCTGCCTTGCAGAGGGACAGCTGTCAAAGTTGGGCAGCCACCTGTGTCCTGAGAATGAATTGACACCATTCTCATTGGAATGCTGAGCCTCTCTGTTGTCCTTGCCTGACGCCTGCTGGTATAGCTCTACTTCAGGGGGCAACTAGATGAACAAGTCCTTCCCTTCCTCCCTAGGGCAAGGGTGCAAGGCTATTTTTGGAAAAACGCTTAGGTTACTCTTTCAGTTCTTTTTTTCTTATGATCCTCCTTAAGGGAGAGCCTCGCAGAACAGGCCCTCAGTCCCTTTTCTAAAATCCATGGACCAGATGTGTTTGGAATTCAACATGTTTTCAGACATGGTGTTCATAACATATATTACACAAAACTTCCAGCGGAGTCTGAGCCAGCACCTCATAATACGAGACATAAATATTTCTGCAGTGAAATGTTAGAAATTTTTCACAATAAATGGAATAAATAAAGACTGTAAATAGCCTCAAATGAGTCAGGGCAAACTTTGCCATCAAATGAATTTGAGTGTTAAATTTGCAAAAGAACGGTCAGTTTTCCAGGCATTTTGGATTTTGAAACTGAGGACAAGAGATTTAGATTTGTATTAGGTTCTTAACAAGTTAAGACAAATTAATCTATTTGTTGTTAGAGAAAGAAGAGAAGGGGATATATTACAAATAGCCCACGGGGCTTTTCATATTGATCATTTAGACAAAAAAATTTGACTATACTGCACAGGATATGAGATAAATGAATTGTTCTTGTCCCTGGCTCCTGCCATATGACCTTGACATATTCTGTCTTCCAGAGCCAGTCTGTGACAGTGCTATTGTCCTGGAATCTGAGCTGCCTCGCTGAGCTGCTGAGAAAGGGACAAGAAGTGGGCAGACCTAGCTTCCCTGGGACTCTCAAGAACATTCCCAGACTAGTTTAACCTCAACAAGGCAAGAGTGTCAGAGCCAACTGGCATGCTTATTCTATGACTCCATCATAAAGTAATTACGCAGTTTGATTTTTCTAAGCATATAAAATCCAAAAACATATCTTCTTAATATGGGGGAATTTTTTTTTTAAAGCCCAAATCTTTGAAGTTTTAAAGGTGGGGTTGGGAAGATTATATTCTAGGTTGTCATGCTAGGGACTATTTACAAGGGAAAGAGTAAACTTTCCCTGAGATCAAGGGTTGTCACCAGTGAAGACATATAGAGATCAAGGCTTACTTGGCTTCCAGGGCCAGCGCAATGATGCCTGCAGCCATGGGGGCTGAGGCTGATGTCCCAGTGTGGTTGTCCGTGCAGCGCTGCCTCAGGTCCGTAGTGATCTAGACAGAAGACAGAAGTGAAAAATTTAGATCTCTGGGGTCAGCGTGAGTCACATGAGAAAGAAATTTGCTCATAAAAGTGTAATGGAGGGTGTTGAAATATTTGTTTTAAATTTCTTGTTCCTACACTCTTATAACCATATCACTTCCAGAGAATTGCCTGTGTAGATCAACTACGAAAAGGGAAGGGTTTGGAAATTGAACTCCACTTCTGTTAAAACCAGAATCAGGACGAAGTTGAGCCCATGGCTTGAAACATAAAGGTCATGCAAATACCTCCTCCAATTTTGCACTGTAGGCACCCTACTTGCCTCACCCTAGAGCCAGTTCTGATTAAAACTAAAGTTCTTTCATTGGGCCAACATTTTTAAATAATCAAACATGTTGAATCAACATCCACACCCTGAGCCAGGCATTGGTAGCCTAAGGAATAAAAGTCCACAATCCCTGCCCTCCCGGAATTGTTATCTTTTTTTTTTTGAGACAGAGTCTCGCTTTGTTGCCCAGGCTAGAGTGAGTGCTATGGCGTCTGCCTAGCTCACAGCAACCTCAAACTCCTGGGCTCAAGCAATCCTTCTGCCTCAGCCTCCCAAGTAGCTGGGACTACAGGCATGCGCCACCATGCCCGGCTGATTTTTTCTATATATATTAGTTGGCCAATTAATTTCTTTCTATTTTTTTAGTAGAGACAGGGTCTCGCTCTTGCTCAGGCTGGTTTCGAACTCCTGACCTAGAGCTATCCGCCCACCTCGACCTCCCAGAGTGCTAGGATTACAGGTGTGACCCACCACGCCCAGCCCAGAATTGTTATCTTAAGAGAGCCACAGACTTCAAGTCCAAAGTATGCTCTTCCATGGGAGAAACCTTTGACTGTGGACCTGTTTCTAGAATTCATAGAAATGTTGCATGGACGTACCAAGACTTCCTCAAAGATTAAACATAGATGCTAAAAATAAGGCTGAACCCAGTGTATTTAATATGCAATAACAGCCCTAAGTATATGCTTGTATATTATAGAAGATTATTTATTTCTCCATTTTTATTTTTTAATCAAAATGTGAGAACTAGATCATTTTTATCCTCCTGGCTTAAATCCAGTTCACTTCAGCTGTGGCTAAATAACATTACTATCTATCAAGGGTGATGTTTCTCAACTTTTGTTTCATTAACAAAAAAATACTAAATTCAAATTTACTCCTTAACAGGAAGAATTAAATACTATGGACTAAGATTCTGGAAACCATTATAATACCTCTAAGATTTTTAAAATCCTCCCTCCCTGACTATGATCCATTTTTGTCCCTTTGGGGCTAATACCTTCTCCACGGAGAATGCACAAGCCTATGAGATGAGTTAGTGGTGTCATTATCGCTGCTGGAAGACATCAGAAAACCTTTGTTCAGCATCAAGACAAGGATATTACCACATGTTACAGATAAGAAAACTGATGTGAACGGTCAGCAGAAAGGTGAAGAGAGATCCGGGCTATGGAAAACAAAGCTGTGTCTTTCTAAGGGCTTCCTTCCAGAAGAGTGTGGACATTGGTTGAATTTGGTTTGAATATAAATTTGATCTTCACAGGAAAGAAGCGCTGCATAACTACTTAGAAAGGGACCCTCACTTAGATATTTTCTTCTATATCCCATGAGGATGTCTGAGTGGATGTGTCTTTTATTACCGCTTACAGATCTAGACTGACATCCTGCAGCGATTTAGTTTCACGGGACACCATCAGTTCTTTTCTTTTCTTTGTTTCTTTTGACACCTCTAATGATTCCAGATTATCATCTGTGCCAGGTAGGTATGCGTACTGATACAAAAGAAGTAGGAGAATGAACAAAAAATATATAGAACCACATAGATACAGTGCAGTGGGAAGGGGTTGATCCTTGCACTGTTTTCCTGACTGATTGATTAGTGTGCAAGAGCCCTGACAGAGTGGGCGTGTTTGACAAGCACGGGAAATTGTTTCTTGGTTAACAGACTTTGCCACATCTGATACTTGCAGGATGTCTGGTCGAATAGAGTCTTGCTCATTTCTACACTGAGAAACTTTCTGGACTTCCAATTGTTGACTTTTAAAAGGTATTCTTTTATTGTTTTAAAAAACATATAACATAAATTTACCCTCAAATAATTTTTATGTGTATAGTACAGTTCATATATATAACTATTGTTATATGCACACTGCTGTACAATATTGCTAGAGTTTTTTCCTCTTGCAGGACTGAAACTCTGTACCCACTGAACAACAATTCCTCATTATCCCTCCCCTCATCTCCTGGCAACCACCATTCTACTTTCTGTTTCTGTGTGTATGATCACTCTAGGTATTTTATATAAGTGGAATCATATGGTATTTATCTTTTTGTAATTGGATCATTTCACTTAGCATAATGTCCTCATGATTTATCCATACTGTAGCACATGACAGAATTCCCTTCCTTTTAAAGGCTGAATAATATTCCATTATGTAACATTTTCTTTATCCATTTGCCTGTGGATGGATGTGTGAGTTGCTTCCACATCTTGGCTATCGTGAATAATACTGCAAATGTGCATGCGTGTGCAAAAACCTCTTTGAGATCCTGTTTTCAATTCTTTCAAATCTATAGCCAGAAATGGGATTGCTGGATCATTAAAAAGGTAGTTCTGCCTCACTTGAAACTGTGGGTTGAATCTGCAGCCTTCGTCTCCAAAGCGCTTGTCCCTAAGTCAATGCGTGAACACACCAGAGCAGCGTGTTTCCAAGTCTCCAGATCTGCTGTTGTGGAGAGATGGCTGTGCCTGCATTCTTCCCATTTTACCTCACCCCACGGTCACATTCCTTTGTCCAAGTTTTATTTTTTTCAATGACTTTGTGCCTGGATTCAAGATTGTTCAGGATGTTTTCCCACTTGGCTCTCCTTGCTTATTCTTCAGCTGCACCAGACACATTCGATGCACAGAAACAAATCCAGGATAAACACTCCAAGTGTGTGCAGCATTGCTAAGTGCAATAAATAACCACCTCCAGCCAACCTCAAATGTGAACAATCAAAATTTTATGATGTAGGGTTGCAAAAGAAATATGTTCTATCCATATACAGTCACCAGGCATATATGCATAGAATATATGCTTAAATAAAAAGCTACTTAGTACTTTTATACATAAACCCCAGTGAAGTGTTAAAAGCCGTTAATGTAGGCAAGCTTGTGGAATTCCAAATCATCATTGTGCTATAATTTTTTTCAACCACTTTAACTAAATGAAATTTGAGAGTAGTGAGTAGGGGTGGACAGGGGGTGGAGGAGGAAGGTGATGGAAAGGGGGAAGGTTAAAAGGAATGGGGAGAAAAGAAACAAAAACATCCTCACTCGCTTTTCTTCCTGCTTTAAGTGGAAATTCCAGCTGGGTCATTTCAAGAGGAAGTCACTGTCAGTGGTGGTGATATTTAGGTGTAAATTACTAGAAACATCTAAGGCAGGGTTTTCATCATTAACAGAAGCCACAGTACCAGAGAGTTTTTATGTCTATCTTTAGAGAGAAAAGGCAAAGACCACCAAGGAGCATGCAATCTTGAAGAAAAATGATGTTCTGAAAACTAGAACCACATGAGGTAACCCCATTAATCACAATGCATGCATTGTGGATCTGACAGTATAATTCAAAGGAAAGTTGCATTCAACGGTGGGTCCACAACACGGGGCAGATAGTACAGAGATTCTATATGCAAAGCCAGAAAAATAAAGCACTTTAACTTTAGATTACATTTTTTTTTTTTAAGTGTCAGAATTTGGTCTCAATCCTGGTGGTACATCTTGCATGCTCCAAATTCCCACAATTCACTACCCAAATCAGAAACAGAATTTTTCTCCAAAGAACTTCTCAGATTGCTCAAGAAAATATCATTTGTGCCCATCAGGGTGATGAAACTGGAAAGGACACCAGGCCCTGAGCCAGATCAAAGCTGTCCTGATCACCAAATGAGATTTTCAGCCTTTCTCCGGATCAGTAGCAGATGGTTTTTTGGATTCCACAACGTCAGGGATGTCATCTTTCTTTGGTGAGAAATGGCAGGTATTGTTTGGGTCGCGTTAGGCTCCTCTGAGAAGAGCCATCACTTTTACTCATTCTAAGCTCTTATTTCCTAATATTTCACATTTCATTATTTCAGCTGATTGGACCTTTGATTTTAGCCTGTCGATGTAATTCTCCAAGGAATCTCAGTTCAGACTGACTTTGGCCTTAAGTGACAAGCCTGTATAGCAATCCCACAGTTAAGAGCTTCACTCTCCCAGATACCTTGTGATCTGTTTTATTTTGAAGGTGCCATTTGTTAAAAGAGCAACTGAACAGATATTTTTACAACATGAAATGATTCCACTGTCTGTTTCTGGTGTTGATTTTGATTTGGATTAGAAATGTGCCAAGAAAGCTGTTTCAGACACAGCTATGGGGGATAAGGGCAGAAACCAAATGTTAAATGTGTCAATGAATAAAATAGAAGAAGCTGATTTATTAAGCACAGTAACATAAAAAAAGGAACTGATAACCAATGAATGCTTTTTCTGTCCATAGAAGTCACAAAGATTGGTGTAAAATTCAATCATGACAAGTTCATACGAAATCCCACTCCTGTGTTGGTAAAACAATCTGTAAATGTGAAGTGCAAAATTTTTAAATGTAAGATTTTGCTTACAAATGTGAGGTTGCTATCACTAAGAAGGAGCCCATCTTATATCATTTTTAAATCTCCATAATGTTCAGTTCAGTTCCATGTACCAACACAGGCACAATATTTATTTGCTAAGTTGAGTTGCTAATCAAGCTCCTTTATACTTATTTTGTTCTATACATTAAACTCTCCCACTCATTGGAAAACACTTCACGGTCACTTCTTTTTTGACTATCCAAACAAAACTCACAGAAATTCATAATCAGTCTTATGTGTGTATGTGTACATATACAATCCAGGAGTTAAAACAAAGTACAGCTATTACTCTCACAACTATTCCAG